CTTTCCAGAGCCCCTGCTCTTATCCGCTTCGCCCTTCTTCTTTCGGCCCCCGCACCGGTTCTTCTTCACTGGAGGTGAAGCCTCCTGCCGCGCAGCCGGGCCGGCTTCACTTCCGGAGCCCCTTAAGGGTCCCGTCCGTCACCACCGTCCCAGCTCCTTCCCTCGGAGACCCGTCACGCGAGCCCTCCCGATCTCCCACTTTGTCCTCTGTGTTTGAAATAAGACAGTCCATAGTGGTCCCACGAGTAGCTAGGGAATTACACGGTCCGCCCACGCAGAGCCCCGCATGCGTGGGTAAGGCTGGATACTCTGAGGTTTCGCCCGGTTCCGCAGAGGCATCGTTCGCGACACTGCTCCCCCAGTGACATGCAGCCATCGCTACGATGGCTTACAACTTGGCTTGGGGAGCTGGTCCGCGGCAACGGTCTTCCCTTATCCTCTACAGGGTTTTACTTCCGTTGGGCCAGGTTATAACCGCCACTACCCAGCAGCACTGAGTCCCCTCAAAGAACTCACACCTACTGGGCGTCCTCCTATCCGCCACCTTGGAGACGCGCCCGGTGGGTAGCTCAACCCCCGGGAATATATCAATATACGTAATATAATTTTTTAACCGGAAGCAAAATAATGTGTCCTTTCCAAAATATTTAATAAGTACGTTTACGCGATCTCATTACGCGTACTCATATTGAATATTTTGGAAAGGACACATCATTTTGCTTCCGATTAAAAATTTATACTACGTATATTGATATACATTGTACAATAGATTACAATAAAACTATTTTTAATCTCCAAAAATTGTTCTTTCAGGTTTTTTGGGGGGGGTGCCACCCCTATCTCGGTATTTTCAAATGGAAAGAGTATATTTTACTTGAATTCTGTAAAATTATGTCAAATTAAAGTATAAAATATCTCGTGAATTATTCAATTTTTGGCCATCCTACCCCTATAATTTTTTATGACGAATATTGCAAGGAATCGGTTTATATAAAAAAATTAGGGTAGTTCCATTTAAAAGAATAAAAATGACCTTCAAATCTCCGAAGCAGCTCCCAAGATCAAATTAATATCCCTTTCTTTTTTTCCCCTCCAAACTCTACAACTTTTATTTGAAACAGTTTTTACGAAAACGCCATGTTTTCGAGTTATTACGGTGCGAGGGTTAAAGTGGGATATCCTGTATATACACTAAAAAAAATATACTAAAAAAAATATACTAAAAAAAGAAAATTTCTTTAATTTTAGTAAATCGTTAGTTTGCATACAACTGTGAACGCATTTTTTTAAATAAGAAAATACATGTATTTATTTGAAGAACATAATTCCATTATAAAGGAAATTATTTATTAATTATAACAGGTATTTTGTATAATACAATAAATGATTATTGAAATATAATTTTTATTTTTTACTAATTAGTAATTTTCCAATCATATTTATTTATTTCGAGAAAATGCTTTTTTTTATTCAATAAAAAAATTATTAATTGTAAGAATTATTTTGTACATTATAGTCAATATTTATTGAAATATAAATCTTATTTTTTATAAATTAGTGATTTTATAATAATATTGATGAAATTGTCTATCCCTACACTTCGGGCTCCCTACCAGTCTAGGCTTCCTCACTGTACCTAGATAATCTTAACACTATCTCTTCCCCTTCCTCGGGCCAGCAGATTCAATCTCACTTCTGAAAACCTGTAGGCGTCGAAAAACCAAGGAGCCGACCAGGTTTTGAACTCGGGATCCCTCATACCACAACCTAGCACTTAGTTACCTGCCCCATGACAGCTCCACTACTCTTCTATTTTTTCCGACCGTCTATCAAATATCTAAACAAGCTTTACTAGACTTTATACTCTTATATACAATATAGTTATTATGTACTGAATTCCTTTTATTTTTTACTACTTACTGATTTTGAACATAAAAATGAGAAAATGTTAACTTAAATTTTGAACAGAAAAAGTAGTTTTATCTCTTAATAATTATTGCTTTTGATTTATTTGATTTGATATTGCTTTGATTGATTTATTTTTTTAAATCTATCAAAGATTTACAAGACTATTTCAATCACAAGTAATAATGACTAACCGCTTATTGAGCTACTTTTTCTACTGAATGCAGTCATTAAAATTCTTGCGAAACAACATACAGAAAAACATTTAAACAAAAAAAAAACTAGTAAAAAAAATGCGTTTAAAAAATTTAAAAACTTATTTGTTCCAAATAAAATATTCTTTCTCTTGTTATTAAATATATTAACTTTATTCCAGTATATGTTTCCTCAAATGTAATAAATTGTACTGAGAAAATATTTTTTTTTTATAAGTGCACTATTCACATTATTTTTTAAAGTTTAGAAACATAAATTTAAACAAATATTTATTAAAATACTGTTTTTAAAATTAAAAAATTCGGATTCAGTATTTTAAAAATTTATTTACTACATTTCAACAACTATTGTACTGTAATATACTAAACCTGAATTTGATTTAAGTAAATTTTTCAACAAAAAATAATTTTCTAATTTTAATGCATTATTTACTATAGTCTAATTGAGAAGTTTTATATTATAAACATTATTTATTTAAATTAAGTACACATCTAATTTTAGTAAATATATTTACTAAAATTTAGAAAATTTTTTTTCACTTTTTACTTAAGTTACTTAATATTTTGCCTTGTGTTATTTTTTCTTTGAATAGAATTCATTTCTTAAATATTTTATGAGCAAAAAAATTTTTGGTAATTGTTCACATTAGGTTATATCACTGATACTGACTTACCTCACTGATTCTTCTACCGCTAAGATATATTGTAGAGGAGGTTTTTTTTAGTAAATTCCCGCAAGGACTTACAATTAGTAAATCGGCACTGATTGCAGAGATATAACAAAATAAAAATAAATTAAAATTTTAATGCTTTTTTCTACGTTAGCTACATAAGCTGATATTAGAAACAATGAAGTTTATGCAGTATTAATCTGTTTGTCGTCTTCTAACGGAAAGTCTTTGTTTATAACCACAATGCTGCAATCACCGTATAAGCGATGGATGTAACAAACTTAATTTTGTCAGTTTTATGCTTTTTCCTAGATATACAGTACATGTGCTTATACATTTTTTAATCACCGTGTAGGTGAGGAAGAGGCGAGTTTCTTTCCCTATAATTCCTACTCCGAAAGGACTATCGTAACCTAATTCAACTCATCTCCGAAGGGTTGAAGGAGGTGAAGTATTACTCGGGATATAGTATAACTGATAATAATAAATAATATACACACATACCAAGAAATAGATCTAAGGATCTACACGTAACACAGTGATTTGACATTTGAATAAATGTTAAATCTCCCTATGATTAAAGATTCATTCATACTTCAGTTGGGTGTGATTAGGTTAGTCCTTTCGGAGTAGCAATGTAGGAACTCTATACCTAGAAGCAAGCATAAATTATCAAAACTATAAAAAATTAATGTTATATCTCTGCAACCAGTCGTCTCCTATAAAATTCTTGCGGAAATTTACTTAGAAAAACTTTCTGTAAACTTCTAAACAAAACTTAATGCAAAAAATTACCAATTTTTGAAATACATCTTTTATTCAAATTTTAATTCAATTATTTATGTAGGAATTTATTTAAAAAAAAAATTTTATGTTCTTAATCCTTTCACTGCGTACGACGTACATCTTCGAAGAGTACCTTCTCAATTGCATATGCCATACATACAGAGTGTTCTAAAAGTATGTAAACGGTCGAATATCTCATCAGGGAAGTACTTTCGCTGAAAACAGTAAATGGGAAAGTTGTATGGTTTCAATAGAGTTATCAGATAAGCGGATTCGATTTTGGGCCCAAGCCCCATGTTGGGCCCTATGGAACCCGAACCCAAAATTGAATTTGCTTATCTGATAGCTCTATTGAAATCCTAAAACTTTCTCATTTACTGTTTTCAGCGAAAGTACTTCTCTGACGGGATATTCGACCGTTTCCATACTTTTAGAATACCTTGTATATGTATAGAAAAGGGTTATAGAAAACTATAGTTATAGAAAACTATTCTTTATTTGCGGATACCGTATATGTATAACGGCGATATTGCTACAAATTGCTAAAGTCAACATTTGTATTAATGAATCTAGTGCCAAAAGTTACATCACTCGATGCTGTTACACTTATTAAGTAAATACTTTTTAATCTGACAATCAGTCGCAATCAAATATCGTGCCGCACATAGCGAGTACTTTTTAATTGAAACGCGCTACAGTGAAAGGGTTAATATACATTTACATAACTGTTACATTATATATATAAATATATATATATAATATTATATATTATAATTGAGAATATATGAAATTTTATCTATTATTATTATTGAATACAATCTAATCTAACCTTACTTATTAGTGCCGAGTTCTAATGAATCTTCGCACATTGCAACCCTTCGAGGAAGTTCTGGAAGACCTTGGGCAAGTGTTAAAAATGAATGGAGCTAAGAGAATGTTTACTGTCTCAGGACAAGAGGTTAGTTATTATTAAACACATATTTTATTAAATATTTGTAGAATAATAAAACCTATAAATAAGTATATAAAATATATTAAATTCTAATTTAATAATGTATAATATCAAATTTATAATATATAAAACAATAATGATATTTTACAATTAATGTTGAAAAAATTCTGAAAAGTGCATGATTTAAATATACAAAAGAAAAAAAATGTGTAATATGTATGTAAATTTGATATATCGATACATACTTATAATATACTTATAATATATAGTCTATAAATATGCATAGCGTGCAACGAGGCTTACGTACGTAAGATAAAACTTGAAACGTGACGATAATGGGGGACGTTAGTCATCGTTCAAAATCATATGGAACAAGGTTACCACTTATATGTGCCATAAGCATTCCACCTATGAAAGAAATGTTTATTCATTCACATTCTATTAAATTTTATCACATAAAATTATCGACATTTAAATATACAGGATGTTTTATTTTAATCTAGCCAGGCGAATATTTCAAACGCTGTTAAGTTTAGAGAAAAATGTTTCAAACAAAAGTTGTAGGGTTCGGAGGGGGACACAAGATGGTGGGCTTGAGTTTTTGATGAAGGTAAAATTGAAGGTCATATAAAGGTCAACTTTGATTTTTAAATGAAACACCCTATTTTTGATTCCAAAATCTAATAGCTGGTGTCAAGAGCTTTTCAAAACACTATAATGAAGTTAATTTTCATCAAGTACTTTTTGAGTTATGAGGCTTGTAAATTATAGTATTTTGACATAAAATACAAAATATTTTGTAAAACATTCAATTTTTGGGAATCTTACCTTAATACTTTTATGCATAAAATAATGAGACGAATTAATTGGTATAAAAAAAACA